GTGAAAGGAGCGCTGATTTAGCACTCCTTTCAGGGGCGGTGAAGCTGCACCGCAGGACCGAGGCATGGGGATGCCTCGGTCCCGCAGCGCAGCTTCCTGGGGTGGCCCATGGCCGCTCGTCTGCTTCCCCCCTATGCCCCTGTGACTCTGGCCAAATAGAAACAATAGAACATATATTGCTCCAGTGGTCATCCTACAGTGACATTCGCCTCAGTCTTATTTTACCTCTACTTGACATACCAGTCAATTTTACACTTCTTTGTTGCATATAATGTTGTCAGATTCTGTGCAGCTGTGGTTAAAATTCACAGGCAATGACCTCTGAAGTAGACTATTACCAATCTTGCCTTGCTATATTGGAGCTATGAATACTGTTCCTAACGTGTGTTTTAACCTTCCTTTATTCTATATCCCCTTTTTATCTGTGCTGATATATAAGTGTAATATTCTATTCTATTCTATTCTATTCTATTCTATTCTATTGAGCTTCATGGCACACTGAAATGTATCTTTGTAAATGAAAGTCCACAATCTTATTGAAAATATTGAATCTTGAAGATGGAAGTCATATCTGTGAAACAGCCCTTAGTGTCTTCTTAAGATGAAATTGGGTTTCTCGCAGAGATTCTTATTAGGATTCTATAATTTTACTAAGCAAAGTTGTGTGAATCAAATATTTTCATTTTAAACACATATTCAGATGATTTTTATTCAGATTACCTGTTAATTCTACTAGAATTATTTCACAAATTTACTTGACTCTATTGGTTGTACATGAATAAAGAAAAGAAACACTGTCAGTCTTCAGGATTTAAGAGTATAATACCTCCCCAGTGGAAATATCCCTGCACATTTTCTGCACTACAAAATAATAATAATATATATATCAATTTTACCTTGGCAGGTACTATTTTGAATAAGACCAACATGTGGCATCCCCTCGTATAATTATGATGGGATAATTGGTCCTAGGGCAAAAAAGCATTTGACTATAGCTTGTATCTTGCAATATCCCACAGTGCAAATGATAAATCTTTCACAATAAAACATGCTATAGATTGTATATCATTCCCGGCTAGCCTGAGGTTAACCAATGTTTTTTGGGACAGTGCGAGCTGCCTTATTTCTTTATTCTCTCAGAATATCTTTGTATTAAGCCATATTTGAAAGGAGGAAATGAGATGAGCCTAAAGTAAGATTAGCAGACTGAATATCATAAGTCATAGGTCTACTTTTTCCTGATCGTTTTACTTATTTTTTTTTAAAAAAAAAATACATCAAAGGAAAATGTCATATATGACTGCACCTGCATTGAAGAAATAATCCAGTTCATGGCTCAATACTATGGAATTCTGGGATTTGTAGTTTGGTGGGACACCAGACCTTTCTGACAGAGAAGCCTAAATATCTCACAAAATTATAAATCCTAGAATTCCACTGAGGCATGATAGTTAAAGTGGTGTCAAACCATTATCTCTGCAATGCAGACAAGGGTTTTGCAGATATTGGTGAAAATGAAAGGGAGTTAGCCTTTTATGGCTCCAAGTATATTTCCTACAGGATCTGATAGGTTTCAGGCCCCTAGTGTTATGAAACAGTGAAATGTATAGAGAAAATGTTTTTTAAAAAAATCCTGTAGCTTCTTATTGCCACAGTTAATGCAGACCATGTTCACTTCAGTGAAAAAAGCAAAAACATTTTTTAAACAACCTCAGATTCCCTTCATCAGCATGACCACTAGATGGAGAATTGTTTGAGTTGGAGCTCACACAAAAAAAGTAATTTTTCCAGATTCTACCTATGTCATGGTATCACAGACCATTCATGTAATGTCATGAATGTGGTATTATGCATATAAAAACAATTTAGTGCATGTACATCAGAATGTCCACAGATATATTCACTCTATTGTGGATATGTTAGAGTGTTGTTGCTTTCTCAGTATCTAATCAAGACATGCACAACTACCATGAGCTGTATAGAGAATAATTCTAAATATTAATAGCTTGTATTTGTAAACAATATGTTAATGGTATTGTCCTTCCACCTTACCCCTAAAAAAAAAAACACCATGTTTTTCTTTGTTATTTTTTTCCCCTGTCAAGGCTTTGGGGTCTTTAACAGCTGCATAAGAGGAAAATGAACTTGCTACATTTTTCTGTCTGCTTGCCTTATTCATTTGTGTGTGTCTCTCTGTGTGTGTGCCTTCAAGTCATTTCCTACTTACAACAACCTCAAGGAGAACCTGTCATGGGGTTTTATTGACAAGATTTGTTCCAAGGAGGTTTACCATTGCCTTCCACTGAGGCTGAGAGCATGTGACTTGCCCAAGGTCAGCCAGTGGGTTTAGTGGCTGCAGAGCATAGAATTGAACCCTGGATTCCAAAGTTGTATTCTAACACTCAAACCACTATGCCACACTGGCTCATTTACTCCCTGTCTTTTCCCCACTAGTGGGGCTCAAGGCATTTTTAAAAATAAATAAAAGAATATAGAATTCAATAAAACAGTGCACTATAAAAAGCCCCTTGCAGTTAATTCCTCAAAGTCTGTCCATGTAGGACAGATTTCACTTGCTGGAGGAAGGAGAGAAAGGAGGGAGTTATCAAATGTGAGAGCCCCCACCAAGAAGTCCCTCTTCCTTGTTTCCATCAAGTATGCCTGTTTTTCTAGTAAAGGTAAACATATCTGGCTGGAACAGAAAATCTCTTTCTGTTGAAAGTTGATGTGCCATTCACTCCTTCATGGTAAATAAACATGCATCAAGAAATTAAGCAACTAATGACCTAAGACCTGAAAAACAATCCCTTTGAACCAGGACTGCATGGCACATTCTCAAATTTCTGGCTTGTCTTCAAAAGTAGTACCTCTTCACCATAGTACAAGGCTGTATTCAAAGCAACCAAATCAATTAAAAGAGTACTGTGGCAAGGTGAACATCCCTGATGCTTGTGTATGATATAGAAATGCTTCAACATGCCCTGCTCAAATCACATTTGATCCATAAAACACTAGAGAAAAAGGTAACATTTAAGAGTTCTAAAATGTTATGTGAGAGCCAGCATGGTGTAGGGGCTTAATTGTTGGATTATGACTCTGGAGACCAGGCTTCAATTATTAGCTCAGCCATGAAAACCTACTGGTAACCTTGGGAAAATCACATGCCTTCTGCCTCATGGAAAGGCAATGGCAAACCTCCTTTCAACAAATCTTGCCAGGAAAACTGCATGATAGGTTCATCTTTGGGTCACCATAAGTCATAAACGACTTGTAGGCACACAACACACACCAAATGTTATGTAACTTCTTTTAGCATCTACAGAGGGGTGTGTCCAGGAAATTTGTTCTAGAGAAGGAACTCATTTCAATAGTATGGCATCCTCAACACTGCTCCCAAACATTTCCACCACTGCAGCAAAAGAAGGTTCCTAGGAGAAACAAGAAACAAAGGATGAATAATGAGGCATGGTAATGGGAAGACTTCAGCTGACATAAGAAATCCTGACCCATCCCAGCAGCTCTGGGAATACAAGGCTATTGGACTAAAATGTATCCAGAACTGGAAGAAAGGGGTTGAAGTGATCACAGAGCTTTTAAAAAAAGATTCTGGGGGTTGTAATTCAACAAAATAACTTCAGAGCACAAGACAAAGTGACAAAGGAGCTCTACAGACTGCCCAAAAGGGGTGGCTCCATGCTGTTCCTGGGAGCACTGGATCGGGGTAGCAGCAATTGCACACCATGGCCCCAATCTGACACTTTGCCATTCTAAAAAGAGCTGGCAAATGCCGCTCCTTTTTAGAGCAGCAAAAAGTCATCCTTGCCACTGCCACGGCTTTTCGGTGCTGCTTTGGCACAGTGTGTGTGAACGCTGTGTTACCCATAGTCCCCTTCATATCCAAAATATGAAAAACACCATATGCTTCCCATGGTTCCCCTGCTATCAAAAATGTGAAATTCCATGATGACCTCCAGATGAACCCTGGTAAGTAGAATTAGAGGCAAAAGGTCCTCTGCGCCCATGGCTTGGGCAGACCACCCTTAATCCTTAAGGCACACAATAGCCCCAGATAGTCTAGGAGAGTTGTGAATGGGATTTTCCATGATGAGATCATCTAAACCATCGAAAGGTGTATTGTGTCATCCAGTCACAAGCACCCTCAGCCATCCAAGGTGTAAGGTTTGTGTTGTGCCACCCAGTCTCACACTCCCCCACCCATCGGAAGGTGCATTGTGTCACCTAGTCACACATTCCCCCAGGATATTGGCCCCTCGGATTAAGACCACCAAATATAATGGAACCCTATACAGCAGGGTGCCATCATTGCAATTATTGCCTTCCACCCCAGGGCCCTTTTAGCCCTATATAAACCCTAGATTTTAGCCAGTCAGTGTGCTATCTTCATTGTCTAAATGACTCCACGTCACTCTGACCTTTGAAGCTAGTTACCGGCAGGTCAGCTCGAACCCAGGCTGCAGAGCTAGACTTGTCCCCCTCCCACCATCTCGCATCCCATCTGCTTCCCGGAGGAAGGCTACATTTCAGTAAGCATCACCATTAGTAACGCCTGCATTTCTGTTCCAATCTCGAACCCTGATTTTCCTGAGCCTTGAGTGTGTGTGTGTGAGTGCATGTTCTGTGAGTGAGTTTTCCCCTATTTCAATAAATTAGACATCTAGTGGTTAACCAACATCGGTCTCAGCTTCATTTCTTGGAACACCCTGGTCTCTTGGTATAAACACCGGGAGAGTGGGCTCATTGGGCTCTTGTAGCAAGCCCCTTCTTGCAATATTTGAGCTAATTATAAAATTCCCCTAAGGATTCGGTGCTACAGCTGTACCAAGGGAGTGCCCTGATGCTACCTGCCATCTGTTTGGGTGGGCAACATGATGGCAGCACTGGGGTGGAGTTGGGGCAGCTGGCATGCAGTTGCCCTGCCCCAGCTCCACCCCCAGGCTGGCCCTTTTGACCAGTTTGTATGGCCCCTAGGAGGCCTCTCCAGTTTGACCTGATTCTCTTTCACAGTACACAGTTATAGCACAATGATTCCACTGCAAGAGCCATATCTGCATCCTGAGGACTCTGAGGGCTTGCACTAGAGCTCTCCAACTCTTAATTCTAAATTCCCCTCTCTAAACTGCAAATCCCAGGATTCCATAGGATGGAGCCATAACAGTTAAAGTGAAATCCTACTCTTTTAATTGCATAGTTTGAAAGAGTTGCCGATGAAGCTGATTTCACAGGGGTATGGGAAGAGGCTAGTAATTTGACATTATAGTGTCATGGATAAAGAGTTTCAGATAGATGCCTGAAAAGGAAGAGCAAGAGGAGGAGAAAAACATAGGCATCAAGAATTAATGTCATGAACCTATTGTACAGAAACCTCCTCAGCAACCATATTGGGGACTCAAACCACAAAGTAATGAGAAAGGGTGGGAGGAGGAAACATAGAAACCAGATATTAAAAAGTGGAGTACCGTGGTCCTGTATAGCCCAGTTTTCTATTTTTCTTTTAAGGCCCTGAACACCTACTCCAAACTTTTTTTTCTGTCAGAAAAGTGACCTGTGGAGGGTCTTTCTAGAGTTTTCTTTTTTAATTCCCCCCCCCCCCCCGGTAATCCGAACATACACTGGGGAGTAGAAAATCCAGTTAAAGTTATCCAGCCCTTATATAAACACACATAAAATTACAGTTAGCCTTCATTATCCACAGATTTTTTTTATCCATGGATTCAAGCATCCATGGCTTGAAAATATATATTTTAAAAGTATGTGACATGAAGGCAGTTAACAACAACAACAACAAAAAATAAATTCCAAATAGAAAACCTTGATTTTCCATGTTGTATAAGAGACACCATTTTGCTATGCCATTGTATTTAAGGGGATTTAAGCATCTATGGAATTTGTTATCCACGGGGGTTTTGGAACCAAACCCTAGTGGATAACAAAGACCCAGTGCATGTTGTTATCTTTTCTTAACTCTGGTTTTCTCACTCATTTTGTTTTGCATTAGATTTTTTTCTGTTACAAATCAGCTAAGAATATTTTACATATAAATCATTCTCAAAAATTCCTGTGGGACAGCCACATCCTGGAAGGTTATGGATTGTCCTTTTTTGTAAGGATCCAGATGGAGATGGCAAATTATTCCTTGCTTTAGGACCTTATCACACAATGCAATTAAACCACAATAGCAGCTGGTTAGTAACAGTTTGATGCTGGCATTTATCACTCAATGTCACCTCTTTTCTGTTGTCATCCCAGTGGGAGAGTGTTTGGTCATTTCATTCATGCAGATCCTCTGAGAATGACATCCTTTCCCTCTTCTGTGGTGCTAGCATTTGCAATTTTGATCCTGATTTTGGGTAGCCTATGGGCAGACTTTAGCTGTTGCTTGCCCTTTTCTTGCCTGAGATCAGGAATGGTGGAGTCCTTGATTTGAGAATAGATTAATTGCTGGCAGATTAATTAATTTGGGAATGTCTATATGTGTGTGTCAAACTAGGCAAACACTAGGCAGTACTAGGTGGTACTGGGTGGGCAGTGCCAAATGCTGCATGTGGTAAGGTATTAGCATGAATGAAGGCAGCAATACCAGAAAGATTATAAAGAATACAAAGGTGTGATAAAGAAGAACGTAGTCCAGATTGCATAGTGCTTTTGAAAAGAACATGATTTTAGTGGGAGAACAGTGTATTGTTATTAAAATCCTTAGATTCTAAGAGGGCAAAATAGTATCTTAAAAGCACAATTGTGTTTGGCTCTTCAAACTGGAATTAAAGAACAAGCCAAAAGTCTGTCCTACATATAATATGAAACCTAATAATTTCTCTCCCCTACTTTCTCTGCAAATAAAATATAAAAGATTGTCTTAAACTGCAGAGAAAATGTCTTTGCAAGCAGCAAATTTACAAGGAAAACTGTCAAGGAGAGTTTATAGCTTTAATTTCTTTTACCACTTCCTTTGGAGCAGGACAATAAAATTCCTTTCCTCCTGGTTATTGCCCTGTTCCTTTTGAAAGCACTGATTGTTTTACGGTGATTGGACTGGCAGCATAGGAGGTAGGTTAAAAGTATGAAGGATTATGAACCATTTTTGGTGTTTCATTTGAGAAACAAAGCATTATAACTTGTTTTGATATTGTAAGAGCACACAAACCACCAGATCTGGCCTGTTCATTGGACAGAACAAAGCACTTGCAATGGGACGAAATGTCTGGACACTGTGTTATGGGTTAACAGTATGGTCAGAACTTTAATATAATTGCAAATAGTGTGTAAATCATTTACATTAAGAGAAAAGATCTTCCTCTGATCAACAAAATGCATACAAATTCAGGGACATGGGACTCAGTGGTTCCAAGATCAGTAAACGGTCAAGTGGGATGCCAGGCATGCTTGTCTGATAAACATCTGTGCAGG